GGATTTTCAGATCTGGAAAAAAAATTATGCACATATGTAACACAGACTTGTTCATCAACCTGCCAAGTTTCATTGACATCTGCTGCACAGTCCCTGAGAAAATAACTTGAAGATAACTTGAAAATGAGAAAGAAAGTATATCTAGTATTAAAAAGACTAAGAATAGGCTAATTAATATGCAAATTGGGCAATTAATATGCACAGATTTTATCAAAAAAACTAATCATGTCTGCACAATATTCCAGAACCAAGTTTCCAAGTTTCATTTAATTCTGATAATTGGTTCTTGAGACGTCAGAGGAACAGACTAGCACACACACACAGATACACTAGCTGCGAAGACTGAAAGTATCCAATGATAGTCCATCTTATCTGATCTTTCAATTGTTTGTTTGTTGTACATTGATCATATCCATATATTACCTTTGGGTGATGCTACATCAATATTCTGTGTGATGTCATTGGAGGCTTCAGTAACAGGCTGCATAGTCCCCTGTGAAAAAAAACAAATAAACAAGGTGTGCTTAATATTCACTGAATTCTTTGATACATAGAATTAGAGCTCTTTTCTGTCACAATATTTGACCCATTTGTTTGTAAGAAACAAATTATCTGAAATTGAAGACACAGGTGCAGTATTTTAGAATTAAAGATTTTGCTGAAGAGTAATTATAGGTTTGGGGTAGGGGCCAGTATAGTGCATGGCTTTTAGCATGGTTTGAAACATTATTAAAATAATTATCATTTAATATTGGTGGTGGTGTATGTATATCAAACTCAATCAACATCCCTATTGTATAGGCCGTCACAAATTGACATACATGTCGACCAGTATGCAAATTTCTGATAACAAATGACTCCCACTGATCAGTACTACCGTAAAATCTGTTTTAGAAGCCACATCCCCAATAGAAGTCGTACCTATTCTTTTTGAATAATTCAGAACCAACTTTGATCACCAAAGTCATTAAACTTTTGTCACCTTCCACAGTTTCGGACCAAAATAATGTTTTCCAGATTTTTGCAAAAAATTTATGAAATCGTGTAGTCAGTGAAAAATAATGTCCATGAAAATCAAAACTAACAAAGAAATTGTAGAAAAATACAAAAAAATGTGTGAAATAATGCTAAAAAATTTTGGTATGAAAAATATGGCACTCGAAGTGGTAAAGCGGGGGAGTCGTCACCTGCACATGCGTCAGGTGGCCATAGCGTGTCTTTGTTTACAAACAAGGCTCTACCCATGAGCCTTTGCATTTTTAGCGTGTGTTGTTATCGTCGCTTGAGACTCGATTCCCGCATGTGTGCAGGTGACGATCCTCTCGCTTTAAATTAAGGGTTTCACAAAGGAAAATGTTACAAAACAGAGAAATACTAAGTTACTTGATTAGCAGGTGTGATCAGTAACATAAGATAGTAACAATAAACAATATAAAAAATGTATTAAATGTCAAACTTGTGTTTGTCAAACATAACAATTAAAAGAAGTCTTTCAAAGAATTTTTTTCTTATTATTGTTATTGTTTTTATTTCGTCAATTAGTTTAGTGCACGCACATTTACACAAATAAATGGATGAAAATACATAGATGCATGAATCTTTACGTCCCAATTTGTGAGCTTCATCTGAAAAGCGAATATAACCACCTATCCATTGACTGGATGAAAAACCCTATTTTAACGTCTTGTTCTTGAACATTGATTTTACTTTTAACATGAATGTTCTAAAATTTTGAAAAGTTATTCTTTGACTGGTTATTTGAAGTTTGAAAAAAAAATTCTTTTGGTAGTTTTTGAATTATGAGACTGTTCGTATTTTGATCAATTTTTCAATTCAAAATAGCTACCACAGTAGGGTTTATATATAACACTTTGGGAAAATCACAGTTATTTTTTCCATGGAAACGAGTACAGATAAAATATTACTTTTTGCTATAGCCAAATGTTAAATTATTTACAAGGGGGCAATAAAGTTATTATTATTGATTGAAGTCATTAATACGTAAACATGGACACAAATATGAAGATTGAATCAACAAATGTTTATATTTCTCAGTGGGACTACCTATGAATAAAGCCAAGCAGGAAATAAGAACTGTATGACTAATTTGCATACACACTGGTACTACCTGACACTGTCAACCTTAAGTCAACTTGTCTTACACTGCATAAAAAAAACTATTTCCGTATTTATGACACAAACACAAATAGGTACATGAAAAATAAATAGTTTATTAATTTGGCAAAATAGGGGTGGGGGGGGTGGGGGACACACAAAGAAATCCATTGGCATCCATTTGTTTTCTAACCAAATCATTATTATCATATATATGCCAAAAAATTTCAAACTTTCTTTATGGTGATAATAATGTACTCTATTCCATTCTATTCTATTCTATTCTATTCTATTCTATTCTATTCTATTCTATTCTATTCTATTCCATTCTATTTCATTCTATTCCATGTGTGTAAAATTCATTTTTGTTAACACAACATTCAAACATGCGCTGAGCGACAACAACTATTCAAACTTAATAAAAACTAATTGTCATTATTGATAGTCAATTTGTCTCCCCAGAAGTACCACGATGTAAGACATTTAGGGTCATGCAGAAGACGAACCTCAATCACAACACATATCCAGTTTGATTCATGTCTGCCTCGTATCTTGAGTTGCTCCTATGGATGGAGTCAAGGACGGTAAACTCTAAACAGAATGGGGTATATCAAAGTTGACAAGATTCCAGGGTGGAAAACTAGATAAACAAGCAGCCTGTTGACTGATAGTTCGGTGTATACTTAAATAGTTGACAATTTTTTTTTACCAAAAATGACAAAAAATAGTCACTAAATCTAGAAAATTAAACTCATTGTCACAAAATGATTCAATCTGTCAGTGGTCCACCGAAGGTGTCAACATATAAAAAATCAAAGTTATTGGGCAAGCCATTTTAAAGTAGAAGTTGAAAATAGCAATTTTTACCAAAATTTAGTATTGTCACAAAATAAACAAATCTGACTAGGTCCACTTAAGGTGTCTACATATAAAACATCAAAGCATTTGGAGCAGTTGTTGTCAAGAAAAAGTCAACATCTCTCATTGTTGTAATCGAATGAGTGGCTAGTGTGAGTAACACCATCTCAAAATGTACTGAGGGCAGGAAAGGTCAGTGGGATGGGTGCAAATATTGTCAAGCAAGATATTATTACGGAAATCGTTGAATATGTAGCGATTTTGTGATGGCACGATTTCCTAACAAGAACACTGCCACGCCCTGCCCATGCAGTAATCACGTGGACTCAAAGGGGTTGTTGGTTGACAACAAGACGAGTAGGAAAAGTAGTTTGGAGCTCGTCAGCAATGTACTACTCGCTAGAGGCCATTGCAGAGAACCGCCAGCAAGGACTCGCTGAAGTCCCGCGAAAGTTGGTTACCTAGCAACCCAGGGGGTTTTTCTTACAATATGATGTATGTATGATCCCTGCCTGTAAATGAGAAATATACGATCTGTTTGGTAAATGTGACAGATTTTATCATTCAGCAAAATTTTAAAGAAACATGGTAATATCATTATCACTGTAAAATAAAATTTTATTTACAAGCAAGAATAGAGACGTGCAGTTCACTAAAACAATAGACCATAGAAAACATGGATATCATCTCGTTTTTCAGACAAAAGAAAATCCAACTTCCTGTGTGCAATGTAGATAATCTCCAGTACAGTTAATCCCATTAAAGCTTATAACTGGTAGATTTAATATATGAAACACCTGTTACCTTTCTATTTTTAATATGTTTGTTGGTTATACTGTGTCAATATACTCATATTTATCACAGTATAACAGGTGGACTGGGCTATATCAGTACTATATATATGATAAAAATACACTTGTTATAAAAATACAAAGTTTTGATAAGCCATTGCTTACTTCCAGGCAGTTTTGGTTACTTGCAGGAAAAAATGTCCTTTTTTTGTTTCCTTTCCCTGTTTTCAAAGTGAAATAAAAACTGTTACCATCGCAGTGTTTAGTTTTTACTCATATCAATAGATTTGACTGATCGAGCCATTCACTTTTGATAAAAATCTTATTATATTCTAACCACAAATTGGCTCCTTTTGTGTAGCTACACCCTAGCAGCCATGTTTGGCTAATGGAACAGGAGAGGATGAAGCATCCACCATCCTATGGTGTGAATTGGGTAGGGAATTATAACTAATTATATGGCTACATGAAAGGGATATCTACAGTTGCATGCATGTTCACATCCTTGGTTTCTAGGGTCTGTGCTAAACCAGACACAGAACAATGCAATGCAACAAGACGTGTTTTCATGGAATATAAATTGAAAATGCTATTGTTAATCACAGAATTACTACACAGTACCTTCAATGTGTTCCTCTATATGTTGGCTTTTTATGGTAGTTTTGAATGAGATAACACTCAATATTTTATTGAAAAATACCAAAAACCAATCAAGGGATAATATGCAAGTCTAGCATAGGTGAAGTTTGAACATAATCAAAGATATGGCAAGGAAAAGCATTCTTTAAAAGAAAATGTCCACCAGTTGTCCATTTTGGTTCTCATCAAAATGACGTGCATCAAGGTCCCATGATGACCAATGGAATTGGAACAAAATTGGAATAAAATATGTTCATGCATAACCAAGATCTTATTTTAGAAAGACAACATTGCTCGATTTTTAATGGCCACCAGCCGGCCTTCTTGAATTGGCTCTTGAAACAAATGTTTGTGAATATGTGTGATATGACGTATATAAACTGAATTCGTTTGGCCATTTTGAGTCCAATTTGTGAACCAAAATGACGGGGCATAGGACATGCATCTAGTTCCCCTAATGTCTAATACATGTCCAAGTAAGAACAAAAACATACACTTGAGATCTAGTTTCAAATTTGTAGAATTGTGATTTTATGAATTAATGGTAGTGAAATGGCCGCTATTTGAACATAAAACAAATGCATGAGTATAGTAGTAAGGATATGTCTGAGATACCGGTGTGGACAGACGGGCGTCATTTTGAATATTTTTATGTATATATTTCTTACAATCTCAATTTACAATTTTGCAATTTTTACAATATAATTTGCTATAATTTAAAAAAAAAAAATTGTGAAAAGCAACAAAAGTTGACTTGGCATTCAAAGGGTTATCTCATTTAGAATGACAATGAAACTTTCATAAAATAAACCTGCTGGTAGGAACAATACGAGACTCAAAGGGATGGGGGAGGGGTAGCTGGAAGATTTGTAAAAACAAAATTTTGCAAGGTATAGACACCCCAAAAAAAATTTATGCAAGGTGTTGCAGGAAAAAAATGTTCCCACATCCAAGAAAAATGAACAAATAAGAAAACACAAAAAAACAAACATTTCCCCTCCCCCATGATTTCAAATTGTTTACCCATTATAAACATCTCAACTTATGTACTCAGGTGATTTCCAGGGTTAGACAGTCAAGAAAATTCATCACTATCTAATAGGGCTAGCAAACATGAAAAAATGCTATCCCAACTAAAATCTTACTGGTCATGCTACGTTTTGCAATAGTCGTCTCTTTTTGCCATCACTTTGAATTGAATATAGAAACATTTACATAGCAATGTTCTGAAACAGTAAGTCATGAATGGAGATAATGGGACAGGTATATGTACCCTGTACAGAGATGTGTGTCTGCACGCCTGTGATAGTTGTAACTGACAAAAACGTTAGTGTACAACTAGCAACTTTATTACTCAATCAAACCGAGTTCTTGATTTGTATTCGAATTCACATAACCACAATTTGTGAGTTTTTCTCAGCCACAGTATTTCTTACAAAATTTCTGGTATGGGTGCAGGCAAAGATACTGTATGATTTGATGATATACAACTTAAAATTGGTACATCCTCTCACTTACATGCCTGTCATATTTTCAGCACACATCTCAGAACATTTTCCCCTTTCTTTTCCTAATAAAGAATTACAACCAAGGGTACTTATCCTTCCATTCATTAAAACAATGAGCGAGTGAGTGAGTGTCTAACCCTGGATTTCTCTCAAAAACATGAACTAAAAAACTAAAAAGACTAGTATTATTTTAAACTCATAGTTGTTGCTAACATAGGAAAGTAAGAGATTCCATTGGGTCTCTGGGCATAAGCTGTTGAAGCAGATGAGATTTCACCTGCACATACGTCAGCTGGCCATAGCATGTCATTGTCTACAAACAAGCG